GCCAGGGGACGTGGGGCTGGCGCTGCCCTGCCAGGGGACGTGGGGCTGGCACCGCCTGTTCTGGGGGCCGCAGGGTTGCAGCACCCAGCTGCAGTCCCCTGTGCCCAGGGTCCCAGCCCTGCTGCGCAGTGAGCCCCGCACCCCCTGGCACAGGCCAGGATGGGGCTCAGCCCCTCCCAGCACCCACCTCCACACACGTCACCTCCATCCCCTCCTGCCCCCCCAGCAGGACAGATGTGGCCCCAGGGGACTGCGGTGACAAGGGGGGGGCCACGCTGTCCCTCTACAGAGCGTGGGAGCCAGGGACCTCGGGGCTCAGGTTCTCCTCGGGGGTGTTGACCCAGGAGCTCCCCACCGCCCCCCAGCTCGCAGGGGGGGAGGCAGAGAGGGGGCTGCTGGGCGGCGACGGGGAGGCCGCCAGCCGCAGGTTGAGCTTGGCGATGAGCGGCTTCCCCACGCTCCCCGTCCGCCTCTCCTCCACAAAGTCGTCCATGCCGCGGTAGCGGTACTGCAGGCAGACGGTGAACACCAGCTCCTGCTGCGGGGGGGGGGAGAGGCAGCATGGGCACCCAGCCTGGCCCCCCGCCACCGCCACCCTGTGCTCCCAGCGCCGGCCCCCCGCCCGGCGTGGCTCTTACCCGCAGTTTCTGCAAGCCGCAGAGCCGGCTGTAGAGGCAGCAGGAGGGGCAGCCAAGGCTCCAGGGGGGGGCCAGCGGGCTGCCCACCTCCTCCGGGCTCTCCTTGTTGGTGCACTTGATGTCCACGTCCAGCTCCTGCCACGGACAGGATCCAGCCATGGAAACCACCACGGGTCCGTCCCCCCCCACTCCCCAGCATCACCCTGGCACGGGCATCGGCAACCCGCTCCCACCTCGGGTATGTCGGTGAGCTTGGCCTCGCACTTGGCAATGTCCTCGGGGGCGGCCACCACACGGGTGTAGATGATCATGATGTTGGAGAACTCGGCGGCAAAGCCCAGCTGGACGGTGACGCCGCAGTCAAAGCGGAGGTGCCGGCTCTCCGGCAGGACTGGGGGGGGGGACAGCACAGGGCTGGGACCTGCAGGTACTCAGGGCCGGAGCTGCACCCGTGGGGGAGGTGACCCCCCAGGGACACCGACATGTTCCTGACACCAGGCCGGGGGCTCTCTCTGCTGGTTTTTTCTCCCCTCCAGGGTGGGAGACACCCAGCTGCTGCCCGCCGCCTCTCCCTGCGGCTCAGTGCCGCCCCCCCGCTGGGTGCTGGCTCTGGACGGGGCGGCCGGGACTCTCACCGTGAGCCTTGGCCCACC